AATGCCATCTATAAAACATCTTATAAAAGTTTTCTCTCAAGTTTTGGGCTTGTGTAAATTTTACATTTCTTACCAAATCCTTTCCCATGTATCCAACATTATTGGTTCTTCAATATTTTGAGACCACTTTATCATACAATCTTTAACTAATTCTGTTTCTGAGTCCATCTCTATTAATACATTATATAATCTCTTTATATGCATTGGACTTTGATTTCTTAAATTATGTTTTATTGTTTACAAGTTTCTATAAGTTAATGCTGAAATGGGTGTGATTTTTCCTCCTTGTATTTTATGCTGGCCTATGGCCGAAATAAAGATCTGTTTTACCTGAATACTTAGCACATATTTGAAGAGGCCTGGGGGTGAACTATTTCTTTTCACTTCAATAATAGCTGTGCTGGATAGTTGGAAGCTTCTCTGATCATTGACAGTGATAAAGTTATATTCTGTAGTTGCAGAAACATCAATAAAGAGTTTCTTTCAACCTGCATGTGTGTTAGTCGGATTTAGAGAAAAACAGTCCAGTGGGCTTAGCTTGAAGCCATTTCTCATTCCTTGCAGGATATCTTGAACAACCTTGAGTCCTGTGATCTTGAAGATGATGATCTTATGCTTGATGTCGACTTGCCTGAGGACACACCCTGCGATAATGGTTAGTGAAAGGATCCTTCTGAAGTGTCCGGAGTCTGCATTGCTGTTGCTACTTTGATCTCATTTTTGATTTCTATAAAGCCAAGAGAATCAACAACTTACAGTTACAACTTACAATTTCATCCCGTGAAATCTCTAGGACACCAAGGCTGTGCATATATGGAGGCATTTATCTCAGGATACATCAGGGCTATCCAACCTTGGCAACTTTTAGGATTTGTGGATATCTCTGGAGATTCTCAGTCATCCAGGTCATGGTTGTCCCAAAGGAGTTTTTTCAAGAGGCAACTGGACTTTTTGATTTTTTTCTTTAAAGACGTTTCACTTCTCATCCAAGCAGCTTCTTTAGAAGAAGAAGCTTATTGGATGAGATTTGTGGACTTTAACTCCCAGAATTCACAAAGGTGGCAGAGGAATTCTGGAAGGTGAAGCCTACTGTACAAGTCTTAAAGTTGCCAAAATTGGACACCCCTGCCATACAATTTCATTTTACGCTCAAGGAACGCAATGAATAATATCCCCACTGTTTTGATTTTCTGACGTTTCTTAACAGAGCAATACTTTTGAAACTGTGTTTGCACAGAAGCCCATTCAGAGGTTTCTCCGCTTCTGTTTCTGTCTCGTTTTTAGAGCTAGCATTTTCAGCTAAGACTTTTTTTTAAATTAGTTCTTACTGATGCTTTTAGTATAATAGGGCTAAAATGACAGTGTATCCTTTTGTTTAAAAAAAACCCACACCAAAATCAACTAGCTAGATAAGTACACAGAAAACCTTTCTGAAGTCTGGAAATCAAGTAACCAAAGCTCTTATGTTTACATCCAGAGCAGAGTAATTAGAATTCCAATGAAGGTTAGGAAAAATCCAAAGAGAGCCAGAGTTGACTGTGGGTGTAGGACGGGTTTCTTTTTTACTGGATGCATTCAAGTCTTGCTTTAATGTGGGTTTCAGAAAACAAGGGATTCAGTGGCTGCTTTCAACTCCCAATATTGTGTGATTCATGAATTCAGCAGTTAACTACATCTTGCCCGAAGGCTGATTGACCCCAGCAAGTGCTAAAGTAATTCGTAGCTTTATAACTTTCTGACTCCCTTTTGGAGTCTGTGATGGAACTTGCCCTCTATTTATAGCAATTGTTCTGTGGCAAGAAGTATGCAACTCGGGAGGACGGGAGTTGTAAGTCACAGGGTCAAACTGGGCTGCTTTCCCAAGTCTACGCAAGCAGGGAACGGTCTGGAAGGAAGGCCTGTTTGTCCCTGTCTTCTGCAAAACTATATGAGTAGGCAGCCGAGCAACAGCTAGGAAAAGGGCCACGCAGCCAAGGCTGAGCCATGAGGAGAAAAACAGTTTTAGGTAAGTGGGAAGCTGAACGGATTCCTTCAAACTTTTCTTCCCTGGCTGCACTTCTTGGTGCCTTGTTTGGCGTTTTAAGATTTCCAAACAATTGCCTCATCCGGTTGTCAGAAACCAGACTGTTCTTTCAGGAGGCACTGACAGATATGGTTTTGTTTTCCCAGAAGTTTCATATTGCATGGTAAAAAGAGTGTTCTGAAACCTTTCCTTAATTAATAAAACTCTCCAAAGATCATGTTTCATCATCGATTATGTAAGTGTAGGGGAAAATCCTTGTCAAAAATAAAGCATGTTTTTGTCTCCTTTAAGTTGTGTTTGGAGAGATAGCAAAGGAACGGCTTGATTCTTTATTCCTCAGGCAGCTAAAGAAAGAATTTAAATTATTGAACTGCAGTAGCAGCTTTACTATACTGGAAGTCAGTAAATTTCAGCACAATTAGTTTTGTATTTCTGTCGTTTGATGTGTTGTAGAGAAGAAAACTTGCGTTTTATATTTACATCTTGCCTCTGATCATTATCATGTTGTGAAATAAAATTTCTTTTTCTATGCCCAGACCTAATTTATGTGCAATTCCTTCATGATGGCCAACTGTGAGTTAATTAAGAGTGGCATGTGATACCTGTTTTGGTTTTCATGTTGATACCAGTTCTGCTTAACTCAACGTTGCTCTGTTTTCTTCTGTTGATACAGAGGAATATGACAATATGAACCGTTATGACCGACCAGACAGAAATATTCGACAGCAGAAAGCAGAGGGACTCTGGAAGAGAACCCCCCAGAGGTGGAATACTCAGGATCATTATCATCTTAGTCCCACAGAGCACTATTCCCACATCCGAAATGATCTCAACAGGTGTGATTCTCTGAGGAGGAAAAGGTTGGGGTTTGGGATCACTCCAGTGGCCGCTAATCATTAGAGGTTTTTCTCCCAGAGTTAAAAAATCTACAGTTGGACACAGGGATTCTTAGAAGGAAAAGAGAGCAGTCCAGAGAATTGTCAAATGTCCCTAACTCAGGCCACTTGAGCTTGAAATGTCTGTTTTCTATTCCTGATGGGCTACTTTCATCTTTAATATGAAAAGATTTCAAACTCAGGGCAAAATAGTTGAAATGGGGCTGTTTCTCACTGAAAGCTTCCCCGAAGTGATTGTGACCTTGTTGAAGGTGATATGTTCACCTTCACATTTGATATGTACGGGTAATAGCTAAAACAAAAATGAGTCTCTTTCTGTGGGAGTGAGTTATATTGTATAATTTATCAATCAATGAACGCTAATATTTTAAGATTGCACTTAATGTCAGACGTGCCTACTTCAAAATTCAAGAAATGAAACCCCCAACTCCATAGTTTTAGAGAAAAGCTATTGTTACTGAATATGAAGTGAAAGCGCCGAAAGTAAAGCAACATCTGAAACGAAAGGCGCGAAATTATACATATCAAAATCCTCCCCATACTCTTGTGAAGATAACCGGATGGCCTACAAGGCATAGAGCAAGAATAACCATATTAAAAGCAAAACCACAGAACAGATGTCACAGAATAAATAAAAACCGTACATGTATTTTTCAGTGCCTGGGAAAACAGGGCTTGATCTGAGGGTGAAATACCAGGGACACCAATGCAAGCTAAACTCTTGAGGAAAACCCTTGAAAGTTGGAAAGCCACCATAAAGGAGATTCTCCACTGGCCCAGCCAAACAGTTTTTCTGGCAGGGATTCAGAACATCTGATCTTGAGCAACTAGGTAGAACACTGCGTTGCTCTTAAGTCAATTACAGACCTTCACTTCTCCTGTGGAGACTTAGTAAACAAAGGCTGAATACTAACATCCTCCAAACTTTGCTTCAGGAGTTGCAACTATGTCGATTCTCCCCCTGTCAATCATCTCGAAGGCTATGGGGCATCAGGATTGTACCCACCACTGAGGAGTTTCCCAGCAAATACTGTGGTATTGGATGAAATGACCCTTCGGCATATGGTTCAAGACTGCACAGCGGTGAAAACCCAACTCTTAAAAATGAAAAGAATCCTCCATCAGGTGAGTGAGGAGAAAAGGTAACATGTCATTTACTTTTTCTATTATGAAACTAAATATTTAATATTTAAAGACGCTGAAGTTGGCTGCTGAAATAGTAATAAGCCCTAATGTCCTGGATCGTAGCATCTTGATTGGAAATCTCTTGTTTTGGGTGTGAAAGGCGCTGTCATTGAGCAATATTATAGCTGTTTTGAGCACGTTTTGGAAGTGTATTAAGTTTACAAGCACTGTTGTGTACAGTACAAAGCATTCTGTTACAAGCTTCATCCCTGTGCCCCGAAGATGTCTAATTTGCATTTCAGGTTTGGAAATGTTTTGAACATCCCTACCTTCTAGTAGTAGTAGTAGTAGTAGTAGTAGTAGTAGTAGTAGTAGTAGTAGTAGTAGTAGTAGTAGTAGTAGTAGTAGTATAGCAGCAGCAGCAGCTGTAGTAATAGTAAATATTTCCTTTCCTGCAGGATATTGGGGGGGTGAGGGTGGGGGAGAGTGAATGGTCATCTTGTCTGAAGAATGTCTTTTCCCAAACGCTGGGAATTGGGTTTTCAGGTTCATGGATGTTGCAGTGGGTGGGGGTTTGACAACCACAGTATCTCTTTGAATAGCAAGCATTTTTAATTGATTAAAATTCAAAATTTTAATTCCGTTCTGCTTGAGATTCAGCTGGCTGGGGAATTCGGGAAGTTGAAGTCCGCAGATGTTTGTTATGGCCCGCCAGAGGCCAGTGGAGCTGGCAGCAGATTCAGGCAGTGAAGAGGTTGGGGAGGAACATGGGCCAGTCCTGGAGTCTGGGGAAGGCTCTGATGAGGGCTCTGTGTCGGAGGCAGAGAGAGGGCCAGAGTCGTATACCAGTTATCAACTACCTTCGGAGTCAGAGGTCAGTGGGGCAGATGAACAGCCTGGAGCCTGTTCCCGATGTGCACATGCACAGAGCTGCCAGGAGAAGAGAACAGTTAAGGAACAAGGGCCAACTCGGGAGTGAAGGCACAGGTGGATGGTGAAAGGCCCATAGGGAATAAAGAGGAGCTAAAAGGGAGTGGAGTTTGCAGGAGACAATTAGTTTGCTTCATTGGTGTGAAGATTTGTTCAACTCCTTGCTGAGTATTTTCTTGTACAGCGTTGCGTTTGAAAGATATCAGCCTGGCAGCTCTCCAAGCCTGATAATATCCGTGGTTGTAAATTTATCCTTGAAAGACCATTTGCCGGGACTTTGCTGGTAGTGAATTAGAGGAATTCACATTATTTGAATAAAAAGGATTTTTGTTGAGGCAAGGAGTCTGCTTGGTGATTTGGTAAAGCCTTGGTCAGAATAGTGTTAAGTTGCCATGGTTGAACAGCCCTGACCTAAAGCCAGCCAGTGTGATTGTCCTCTCTTTGCAAAGTAGCTGTGAAAGGGAGCATTCTTATTCCTCACAGTCACAAATGCTTTTGGAAAATAGGATTAAAGTATCATAGCAATAGAAATCTGTTGGGTTCCTCCAGAGCTAATGTTGCCACTTGCTGATTATGCTAATTGGAGTTGGAACATAAACTTATGAAATCATTCTTGACTCACATTGTAGCCCAAGCCAGGGAAAGGAATGTGGCCTGTTACCAACAGGTTGTGATGTCAGCAATGATGCCATCTGTCTGAATACCAAAGCTCAGCCTTTGTGCTTCCAAATGCAGCTTCCCTAGACCAAATTCCAGAAGACTGCTCCTTCCAGTTACTGCAGAAAATACACGAATAATTAAATATCAACCTGATAGAGGAAAAATAAAAGTCAGTGAAATGAGTTGCCGTCAATACCACAGGTATTTAAACAGTAGGGGGCAGTTTTAAAACTACCCTTTTTAAAACACAGTTGTTTCATCTTTGCAAACTGTTTTTCATACTGATTGAGAAGCTGGTTTTCTCTTGCTAAAATAAAAGAATAAAGGTTTTCTCCACATTGGCTTATTGGGCTAAGAGCTGATCATCTACTCAAGGCCAAGAGCCTTTTAGTAAGCAGTGACTTCCAGAGCTGCTTTTTGTAGACACCAAGACAAAGGCCTTGTTCCAGGCCCGCCCTGGTGTTTTCCTCCCTGGGAGAATGTTGAAGAGATTTCCTCTCTTTTTTTTAAAGTTCTATTTTAGAATGTTTGTGTGTTGTTCTTACTCAGTCACTAAGTTGTATCCCAATGCTCGTGATCGTATGGATCAGTGCCTCCCCCCGCCCCCAATCCTCCATTCAATTCCTCAAAGTTCCAATTTATTAAGAGAGCCATGTTGGCACATCTGAGAAAACCCAAATCTGAGAGTTTACCGGTTTTCCCCACACAGTTGAAAGTTCAAGATCCTGCCCCACATACCCACAAGTCCATCCCATGGTCCAATCTTCAACTGCCATGCTGGCAATTCCACCCATCCAATTCCGGTCAGGTGCAGAGACAAAGGATGACCTTGGCTTTCTAGAAAGAATGTTGTTATGGCTTCATAGCATCTAACTCCGTACGATCCCCCTCCCTCCCATTTTCCCACAATATAAAATGAATCGTAGAAAATGTGGCAGGCCTGAAACCTAAAAAGAAAAGATAGCTTGCAGGTCTGAAACTCACATTCACTGCTAATCACTTCACCATTTCATCTTCTGCCTCCCCCTTCACCTTTCGCTTCATTTGTGTACATGTTGCTTGAAAATGGGCAGAAAAACAATCCCCTGCTTCCAACCATTGTGTTTTTAAAAGCCATGGGACTTCAAAACAGATGAGGAGCCACAACTTAATCCCTTCTGGATCTAAACTCACCCCAGATGGCCTCATCTTTTGTTTTGTTTGCAACACTACTTTTACTTATTTCTCTGCCTTTTCTGATTCCTTAATAAAAGTATTCAGTCAGAAATTGTACGGATGTATCCCCACCCCACCCATGCCAAAGTTCAAGCTTCTTCTTCTTCTGTTGTTGTTGCCCAGTATTTTAGACCCAAAAAAAAGCGTAGCTTTTTCCAAGCTTTTCATAGACCTGGCAGGCCGCAGAAAAGGAAGAAGGTTTGTTGTTTTGGTCATTAGGACAATGGAAGGAGCGGATGCCCGAGAGGGCAGGGCGAAGCTGAATTTTCTTCATGGCCGTGCCTCGGCACTGCTTTCTCAAGAAGAAGAAGAGAGGCCTTAGTGGGCTTCAGCTTTTGGAGTGGAGGGTCCCTCAGGAAAGAGAGACAAGCAAAGGGAGATTAAGCAGTAGAGCAGTGCAAGGAGGCTGGGGGGCTTCCTGGAGAATTCAGCCAGCGAAGTTGAGGAATTCAGGACAGAACAGTTTCAGAAACCTCAAAAGGAGCAGATCCTCCAGAGGCCAGGTTAGAGAGGCTATTTGTTGCAAAGGTTATGAAAGTGAGCCCCATAGCAGGTAACTTAGACAAGGCTTTAAGCCAGGAGTGTCCAATTTTAGCAACTTTTAAGACCTGTGGACTTCAACTCCCAGAAATCCCCAGCCAGCAAAGCTTTCGCGCCTAATTAGCCAGATTCAGCTTTTTGTCAGATGCTACTTCATTTAATAATCAGGAAAGAAACCACTCAACTCCATTTGCTTGAGATTAAGTGTACTTTTACTAATTACAAACGAAAAGTAGCGTAGCAAAGCTGAATCTGGTTAATTAGGCGTGAAAGCAAAGAATATGTATAGTTCAATCCCCTCCCCTTGGCACCCCAGTTCACAGTCCAATCATAATTCACCCAACTGTCAGGTGA